GCGACCATATCGTTCCTAATGCGCCACACCCGTGTATTTGCAGTGGTCCTCGCCACTCGTTGCTTTGCGCCAATTTTTCGCTCGCGACGAGGGTCACCCGTCGAAAAATTCACTCAGCGACCTAACTGCACCAAGGTTATTTTGCGGATAATAATTAAAGGATAAAAGGATAAAGTTTTTGGCGTTAATCAATCCCGTCAGAGGGATGCGCCCCCGCACTCGACTTCCATTCAGAATCGTAGTGGCGTAATGAGTGCGTATATGGCCTATACAATGACCTGCGGTGGCCAGCCGATGTACAAGTCGGTGCTGTTTTCCTCCCAGACGAGTCTGGTACCAATTCACCGACCCCGGAGGGATGGAGGGCTTGGTTGGTCTGGACGGACATCGTTCCGGGATTCGAACCCCTGACCGTGCATGTGATATAGTGGCCACTTGCCACTACACCATCTCTGCCCGCGGATAATAATTATTGTTGATATTTTTAAGAAGTGTTTTCTCCTGGGGAAGTCTCATCTTCGACAGAACCGCATGTGTTATCACAAGTATACCAAGATGTGTGCCAGCCGCCCTCTGACGGAACTTTAACTCGAACCTGTCCTTGCCGAATACTGCACTTATTGCGTATTATAAAAATTCATTCCAAATTACAAACAAATATAACCGCGTTCCCGCTATTCTGGCTGAGCAAAGTAGCCACTGATGCTGATTGCAAGTAGTACTTACTACAAGTTTTCCTAAGAACAATGAGCATATATCGTGACAGTCGAAGCCAATAGTTTCTGCCCAATACTTCCTAATTGGACCTAATAACATAGACCTGAAGCCGTTTCTCGCCCAACCGGTGATAGCAAACATTAGGCTTATAAATTTGATTGAGCATTGTTTTAGGGGGCATCCCGAATCGAGTAATATATTGGTTGGCAAATTCGGCAGTAGGAACGGTTTTGCGTAATCAATCGGCCGCACATGGCTGTCGCGGACCATTTGCCTCGTTATAACAGTTGAAGAGTTCTTCAGACAGCTCAATCGCTATGCGATTAATATTTTTGACATGATTCTACTGTTAGTTCTTTTGTTCCTTATTTTTTACTTGCTGCTGCATTCTGCTACATTCATTTCGCGCGCGGAGCCTCCCTCGCCGCGACGCGACAACTTCGTTCCTACTGCACCGCATCCGGCAAGTTCACAGGTTTTTATGAACTGTCCATGGTAACAGCCACAACTAATAACTTTTAAAATACTAGTTTTCGAAATATGGCAGTTTTTGCAGAATAACTGTGTTCACATGTTGAAGCAGACCAGTTTGTTGATGACGTGAAACTTGGGGTGCCTACGCCCTTTTCAGGATATTCAGAGACGTTCCACTTAGAGCATAGTACATGCAACGGGAAAAACTCCTGGTTTCACGCTCCAGTGATTGAGTAATCCGAATGCTTTTCAGAGAAGGCAGTTATAGTGGTGGAAAATGTTTCATCTGGTTTCCACCCACTTCACCGTCATTTCTGGAATTCCAGAATTTTTCTGTTCAATTGTACACTTACATATGTGTGACGTTACATAAATTTCACAACTGAACAATTACAAATTATTGCACTTAAGTACAATTGTTTTGAGGTTGATTTCTTCCATAGATCTTTTTTGAGAAGAGTGAAGCCACTACTTTGAAAAGAGCAAATTGCTGCACCTCGATTACACACATCTAGATCAGGCTGAATCTGGGGAATGTCCTCGGAAGGAAGTCCAATCGGATAGCTCGTGTTTCTTAATTACGTCCCCCGTTGAACGAAATTTTTTCCCAATATAATTATATAGATACAAGAGCCGCCCCAAGGTTTAATTGGAAGCCTTTACAAGTACTAGTAATAGTAGTGTAACTAGGGTGAAGCGGTGGGAGTGAAGGAGGGATTTTGGGTCAATATTAGAGCAGAATAAACTCGTCCAATTCTCTACCGATGGATTAGCGTATCAAGTAAATTAGTGTTGAGCATCTACACGCTTCATATAAGTTGCAAACCAATATGTATATGGCTATATTTATTTTGATATATTCTTTTAACTATTTATCGTACCATTTAGAGGGATTTTTTAGAGGTTTTTCCGAATCGTGAGCCTGTGCATGATCCTCTTCCTGTTTCAAGGAGATTGTTCGGGACATTTCGCCCTCCCAAACGCTTCAGACTCCGTGCTCTTTCTCCCGAGCAACGATTAAAAAACATAGAAAACAAAAAACCTAATTCATAATCAAAATAGAGACCTTGATGGTCCAGCGAAACTCTTCTGGGTCATTCGCCTTTCCCGACTTCATGATTTCTGAGCAAAGCTGGGGGTTGGTAACCCTGGCGTTTCCCCGGAATTACTGTAACTTTTTGACCTTCAAAAACATAGGCAACAGTGATTTATTGAAGATGACAGTAGGCGTGTGCCGCAGACGCCTTTGTGTCATTGGGATACCAAGTCGGACGAGGGTAATTTCAAAACCGTCATGGAAAAATGCAACGACGTCAACTAATCGCATCAGACAGCGCTTGTCGTCGACGTCGTCTTCGTCTACGTCAGATTCTTCACAGTATGTTGCCGATTTGCTAGTAGATAAGTCGAAAATACGCCACGCTGGTCGCTCCTCCTTCATCAGCCGATTGCTATCTGCTGGCACCCTCCGCCCATCACGGTAGCAACGAGGATGACGGCGTCTCACTGTCGCCCCACGCACCGGTCCTCCCTCCCACCAGGATCTGGCTCGATGCCCATCGTCGCTCCCAAACCGCTCCCGGATCTTATCTCCAAGAATCTGAACAGACCATTTTCCATAGAAAAACCCCACGGCAATCCTTTCCTCACGTATTAGCAAAGGCTTCATCCTCATCCTACTACTCTTGTACTTTACTTTTATCTGTTTTACTGGCAAATTACGATTGTAAAACGACAATTCAGACGTGACGTAATGAAGCAGATACCATTTACTATGGTTTTTTTACAGTTCATATTCTGACAGGATATACCTCGAAGTAGTCTTCAACTAGTAGAAAGTTGAATACTTGTTTGAACCTGTTTTCCACCGGGTAAAATCCATTCGACTCATCGATCTCAATATGACATTCTTTGAGAATCATTTGGCCTCGATCTGCCCAAGTGCAAACGACGGAACTTCCTGCAATCATGTAGTCATATTTCTTTGCTATCGAATTCGCAAATTACTTGGTATTTGCTTACTTGTTACCAATATCTACGTCGATAGCAAGGTGTTAAGAGAGTAGTTAATTTAATTGTTATTTGTTGATTCCTTAGCTACCACACCAATTTATTGCCTTTTTTAACCTCATAGGGTTTAGATTGGTTGACGATTCACTTGCTGCAAGCTAGGGTATTCTGGAAATGAATAGCAATCCACTCATAAACGACAAGTCACCCCAAAAACACATGCGTAGGAGTAGTTTTGATTAGGCTCTTTACATATATTCCCCGAATACCTGTCATTAAGATATGCCCATTGCGTTCGGTTTTCAGTTTATGAATAAAAACAATGGGTAATGTGTGTTCTAGGGTGATCCCGGTGATCCTGATCCCAGAAAGTTCTGCACAGTCTTCAAAAGGCACAACCACAGACATGTGGTGCCTATCCGAAAATCAAAGCCAACAGGCCTAATTGGCGAAGTGCATGGCGTAATGAAATCTCGTTCAGAAGATTTTGCATGGCTGGCTGATTACAGTCAGAGGCATTCTTCAGAACTCCAACTTGAGTATGGTATTCCACCAAAAACTTTCAGATTAAGTCACTCCGTCCTTTACCAAATTTTTTTATTCACTCATTCTTATTCATTGTCACTCTTGTGATTAGAATTTTCTTTTTCTAGTAAATATACCCTAATGTATGAGAAATTCTCATTATTAATACCCTACATTGCGACTACTAGTCAAAAAATTATTACATGGAACAATGTGTAATAAATCAACTGAGCCAAAAGATTCCTTGGTCCCTTGCAACGTTCAAATTGTATTGAAGCCCTGTCCAGCACAGTTCTTGGAAACTTTGAAACCAGATTCACAGCTCATTGCTATTTGATTTCTCTTCAAATGACTCCACCCTTTTACAAATTATCACGCAATAGAGTATCGCGTAGTATGGTATAGCATAGTATAGCAAAGTATAGCATAGTATAGTGTTGTATTGTGTAGTATAATATAGTATAGTATAGTATAGTATAGTATAGTATAGTATAATATAGTATAGTACAGCATATTTATATTCATTTATGATAAATTAGCCAATAAAATGAGATCTACAGAATGCTGATTGAACCTTTGGATCAGCTAACCGTATAGGGTGAACTCAAAAGATGACCGCCATCCCTGTCCAAGATTCATCAGATGAACTCTCCACACAATTCAAGATTTGATAACTACCTAGTTCAACTTCCCTACTTCAATTATATACTAGTTTCCATTGTTGCGGTTCAGATTTACTCGTACAGGTGATAGCGGCCCAATGCAGCACCTGAAAGGAATGTATTTGCAGGAGAAAGTGACGATTGCAAGTAGTTTCTACTTGAGCGTGACGCATTTAGAGCTCTCGTCTTTATAAAATCTCTGTCTAAGAGAAATAGATTTTGAGAGGCTCGCTCCAACCAGTTTTCCACTTATTAGAGCAGCTCTAGCCCCAAGACGTTCGTATGATAATAACATCACACTCATCGTTGCATCGTCCTTTACTGAAGGACCTTCTCTCTTGCACTATCGCTATTTATACGTTTTTATGACTGGCAAAAGCGTACAAGCTCTGTTCGGGCTACTTGTCAGGCCACCTTGTTCTCGGTCGTTTGATATGGATTTCTTCCGTAAGTATGAATGAACTGAATCGAATTCATACTCGAACCCATTCCGGCAGTTAATTGCGATGTCCGATGAGTTTTCAGAGAACCACATATGGATATATGTAGGTTTCGATATCTATCTACGGTCCTAATCAAAATATGATGGAGAGATGATTCACTGGTCACGTCAAAGACAATCCCGTTTCTTTTTATCCTCTTTTCTGCCTCTCCGAAGTCATTGTAGGCCAAGAAAGCATTCAAATGCCACCACCATTCTGTACGGAAATGGAAAGCGTGGGGCGTCCAAAACGTGGAGTCGATCAATGCCAACTCGTTTATTCCTATTGCCGGGGACAGGGACCAGAACACTATGTGAACTTGAAAAGGGGAAAAATCCAATGCAACTTGTTACATTTCCGCACGGCTGACGTATGGAGTAGTGCTAAATTACAATTACTTTTACCTGGTGAACAGGTGCTTTGTATTGAATATCAGATGATATATAAGAATGCACTTTATTGTATAAATTCTCATTTCGACGTACGTACACATCAGCAGTTAAATTTAAAGATGCAAAAGGCTGATTTCATATGCGGTCTGGGGCAAGGAATATATGCAAATGCAATCTCGTCACTCGGTTCCCCAGAAAACCACTATGGGAGTCTACGTTCTTTGATTGAGCAGCTTCATTTACGTGGTTCCCGTCTTCATTTTGAGAAAAATAAAATAAAAATAGTCTTATTTGTTAAAATCAGCGATTTGCGAAAGGCGGCCCTATGAGTGAGTTCTCAGAACATGAGCATGGCTCAATGGCTAATTTACCAGTTAGGTAGATTTTTTTTGTTCTCTGTCTTATAAGTATATATACCTCCTTGTAAAACAAAAGTGTTTGCCAAATGACGATTTTGACGGATATTTTTGATTTATCCAAAGGTTTGACCTTCCCCAGGAGCTTTTCGAATTGACAAGAAAAACAGAGACGAGCCAAAACAACAAGTTCAGCATGTTCGAAGGGAAAACAGGGCACTCGAAGAGAAGGGCTCCAAAGGGTCACCAGTGTTCCGCGCTCAATCCTTTCATTTTCCTAACTAATGATAAGTTTTTCTTGAATATTTTGGTAAAGCGTTGTAGTTGAAAAAGTTGCTCTCCTTACAAAACGTCCTAGTTAGAAAAAAAAAAGATTTTTTTTGATACAGTGTCCTACAATCCCTACAATGCGAGGTCCTGACCCTACGATCGCGTGCGGGTGGGAATTGAAAAGGGTAGGATCAGATTGGAGGACGGCGAATCTCCGCAATTTGTTCTTTTTCTGCCCATCTCTTCAAACCTATGAAATCTTGACAACTTAACTCTTATGAGGTCCTTTCTAAGAGCCAGTTTTTTCAAATCGTTATGATGGAAAAATCAGTTTTTCTATAGAAACTTATACCATCTAGTCACAAAGAAATGATGCCGATAGCTCTGTCTGACAATGCTAGACTTTGGTACTATCACTAACTGCTACTTCAAATTAATACAAAAAATGGACTGGATCGATTTTTCGTCCGAAATGAAGGAAGTGACTAGCGCTTCTTTGCTTTCACAGTGTAGAACACTTTCAATCGATTCGAAAAATTTTGTAGATACAGGTGAATGGTGTATACAGTGATTCATTCTATATAGCTCACTCATGACTGCTTACATTGTAAAAATTTCGGACGAGTTTTGTATTGCACAAACAGACCTTCGGGGTAAGACCCTCTCAGAGCCGATCGATAAAACCAGATTTTCGGATCTTTCTTGGTCGGAAAAAGGGACACTTGAGAGCTCAGCGAAATTTTGAAATTGGCTAGTTCCGCTGGGGACGAAAAACCGGTAAAAGAGGAATATGTATGGGAAAACAATCCGAATACCATACAGCCTATGAAACCCGCCAAGTCTCTTAATACCGAGAACAGTTTTGATGAGATTCTTGGAGAACTCAAGGGCATGGTTGGTGCGTAACATTCCCGTGGATGCTAACTCAATTTCCACAATATATTTTGAGTAGCTTTCCCCTCACGATACACCGGAAATTATATCTTTCTATATTTGGTTCCATCGTTAAAGCTTCGCGTCAGGATTACTTTTCATTTACTTCTCTATTTTGAGTGTGGTAACAAACAACACCTTTTGAAATTCTCTATGTTCCATATTATAGTCATAATGGTAATTGTATGTGATAATTGTAATTGATATCATAAAAAGTAGTGGTTCGCTAAATGGTTACCATTTTGTAGGAAATTATCGTGAATTAGGTTTTGTTTTTAACCCTACGTATAACGTGTTCATGTGGAAGCTTAGGGGTCAGCGGGGCCGTTGCTACCCTCACGGGCAGAAATTGGGATGCTGGATCGGATGTCGCTGGGACCTACCTGGTGTTTTATCCTACTCGGATGATGATGTCCCAGATTTATTTGGGACAGTAGAAGCAGTGACTCCTACGCTCGTCATCCCTCGCATATCATTATATAAATTTAATATGCATCCACTTGCAAATAGAATTAACGATGGACTTCTCAGGTTACATAAAAGCTCACAAAGCCAATCGACATCCTTATTAGTGCCCTTTTCTTATCGCATACTTCTAATTTGAAGTTTACCACTTCTAATGGCATTAGCTCAGCATTGGCATGTGATTCCTACAGTAATCCGGCAGGAGTCCTGACTCGAATGCCTGGTCATAACGCCACTCAACCAGGCAGCGCTTTTACCGGATCACTGGGGGGTTGCCCATGCTATTTCGATACATCGTGTATGTGATGAAATTGGGGGATACTTTTTGAAATTAGGTCATGTATACGAAAAGTAATGCCCGTAAGGTTCGCAGCTACTTTGTTTGCTGCTCATTAGCAGAATGTAGGTCCTAGTTGTATAAATAAAACTATATTCACAAAAATGGAAATGATGCGGAGGGCGAGGGGAAGGGGAGTGGGTGACTCCGTTGTTCTATCGTCTTCGATGCTGAGAGTCAGAGCGCAGTGGCATTTTGCCTAGAAGAAGTGGGTGGTTTGAGGAGGGTAGAAATGTAGTTTGGGTGGGGTGGGGGTAAAAAGAGGGGGGGGCACACACCAGTGTTGATATAACA